TATGTAAAAAACTGAGAAAAACTATCTGAGAGCAGATAAAAACAGGCGAAAAGAAAAGTGAAAGAAAAAATGAATGATGAGGAAGAATAAAAGAGAAACAAGCAAAGAAGAAAAAAAAGGACGTAGGGAAAAGAAAACTAGGAAGAAAAGAGCATGTGGAAAAAGAAAAACTGAAACATGAGAGAGAAAACATATATGAGTGACCAAATACAAAAAAATTATGAATCTAAGAGAAAAAGTAAAAGAGATTGGAGAAAAAAAAAGGAAACAAAAAGAAAAGAAACACAGGCAAGAAAGAGAATAAAAAAGTAGGAAAAAAAAGAAAGAAAAGAGAAGAAAAAAGGAGAAGAAAAAAAAAGAAAAGAAGAGAAAAATGAGAAAGAAGAAGAGAAGAAGAAGAAGAAGAAGAAGCAGCAGAAGAACACTAAAAAAAGAAACAAACAGCATAGAGGAAAAAAAACAAAAAGAAAAAAATAGATGAAAAATAGATAGGATAAAGAGAGAAAAGAAAACCACGAAAAAAAAAAATGAAATAAAGAAGAGAAGACATAAGAAAAAAAAAAGATACATGTGACTGAAAAGAGAAGAGAAACTCTTGTGAAATTAAATGAGCAGAGAAATGAAAAACATAAAAAGAAAAACTGCTAGACATGTCATTTTTACAGGACTGTGAGACAAAATGTAGGACGCAATCATGCACACCACATGACCTTGGAGGTGTCTACGGACAACGCTGGCTCTTTGGCTTAGAAATGGAGATGAGCACCACACCCCAGAGTTAGACATGACTGGACTTAATGTCAGGGGACTACCTTTACCTTTACCTTACCTTACGTATTATTGCTATTATTACATTTATTAATTTATTCTATTTATTATCATTGCTATTGCATTTATTATTTTACTCTATTATTATTGGAAGGATACATAAGCACATTTACATTGAAGACGGTTAGAATAATGGTTTAATCAGAGTTGGGCAGTCATATCTTAAAATTACAGTTTTATGTAAATATTCAAAAACATTGAACCTACTGATGCCTCAATTAATGTAATTATATTGGTATCTATTTTTATTTTGAAATTTACCAGTGACTGCTGCATTTCCCACCCTCGGCTTATACTCGAGTCAATAAGTTTTCCCAGTTTTTTGTGGTAAAATTAGGTGCCTCGGCTTATATTCATGTCAGTTTATACACGAGTATATGTGGTAAGTCCAATACCATCTTTGGTGGATTAATCACTATTTATTTATTTATTTATTTACTTTACTTTACTTCTATACCGCTGTTCTCAGCCCGAAGGCGACTCACAGCGCTTCACAGCACATAGGAAACAGCAAAATTCAATGCACCAATATAAAAAACAGTTAACAACATATCTAATACACAGTTAGTACACAATTACTATAATCATTCACTAACGTCTCATCACTAAAAACACAATCCAGATCCGTCATCCATTGTTCCATTCCTATATCATTACCAATCATAGCACTAACTACTCGAACGCCTGCACAAAAAACCAGGTCTTTACTTTTTTGCGGAATACAACCAGAGATGGTGCTAATCTAATGTCCGTGGAAAGGGCGTTCCACAGCCGGGAGCCATCACCGAGAAGGCCCTATGCTTTAATTATGTTCAATTTGTAACAATCAAAATACATCCTGCATATTAGATATTTGCATTAGAATCCATAAGAGTAACAAAATTATTTATAAAATAGCAACGAAAATATGGTTGGGGGTCATCACAACATGAGGAACTTTATTTAGGGGTCACGGCATTAGAAAGGTTGAGAACCACTGCTATATGGACTACTTTAGGGTCACGGCATTAGAACGGTTGAGAACCACTGATAAACCCATTTTGCCTAGTTCCAACAGATGAGTCACTACCTCTGAGGATGCTTGCCAAAGTGCAGGCGAAACGTCAGGAGAGAATGCCTCTAGACCATGGCCATACAGCCTGAAAAAAACTACAACAACCCAGTGATTCCGGCCATGAAAGCCTTCGACAATTCACTAGTGGAAGTGTTTTGGTTTTGGAGATTTGTCCCTCCAGATTTTGAAATATTTTGATATACATAATGATATACCTTGGAGGTGATAGGACCAAAGGCAAAATACAGCATTTATTTATGTTGCATGTATGTAGGCACTGTATTCTCATAACTTGAAGGTATTTTAATGCCCAATATTTTAATAATTTTGTACATGAAACAAAATTTGTGTACTTGAACCATCAGAAACAAAGATGTTACTGTTACAGCCATCCATGTAGACAGTTTTGGATTTTGGAGTATTTTGGATTTCTGCATAAGGGATGCACAACCTGTAATGTAATTTATCATAACCATACTTTTTTATTTTGTAACAAGGTATCCCATCACAAAAAAAATTACTAAGTTGGAATGATGTAATTTGTTTTCTTTCCCCTTTTTGGTTGAACTATTTAAGTGTATTTTAGAATGTTTCAACTTTTAGCCATTATCAGTCCTTAGGGTTTCCCAACTTCCAAATACACTTAAATACACAAATACTGAGGAACTAAACATTCTTCCCCATGTGAATGGTAACAAATTACAGACTAGGTGGGTGTACACATCCTAATCCATTATACAATACATTGTTTCTTTAAAGTAACGTTTGAAACTCTGGTTTTACATCAGATATCTGGGGTTGGTGGAGTACAAATTGCATGGAAGGTTTCAGACCCCTAAACTGAAAAAGTGGCCATAAACAGCCACAGATGATCCATAGTAAACAATGGGATTTGTTATCATAAGATATGATGATAATTCATGGAGGATAAGACTATCAGTGGGTATAGTCAGAGTAGATATATGCCAGCTACACTCCCAAGGGTGATATACTTGTGAATTTACTATGAGCCACAAGTGAGAAGGCACTGTTGCACTTATGTCATGCTTGTGAGTTTCCCAGAAACATCGGTTTGGCTGCTGTGCAAACATATTTTTGGATTGCATAAATCTCTCCAGCATCATCCTTCTTAGACTCCCATCTTTGTACTTTGCCGTGTGGGAATTTTTTGAGGGGAAAACCAGGCTTCTTTAAGTAGCTGGCATATTGACTTGTTTTTCTCACTTTTAGATCAAGATGGTGCAGAGCCCAGTCCCAACTCTGTTGCTGTCAGCAATCTGCTCCGGGCGGCCAGCTACACTGGCCACAAGGAATGGGTAAAGAAAGCTGGGCAGATTTTGTCCGCCTTTTCAGAGAGGCTGTTGAAGATCCCTGTGGTCCTCCCTGAGATGGCTCGAGCCACCGCTGCTTTTCACCTGACCCAGAAACAGGTATTGTTGTTGGTTGGGAAAGGTTTAATGCTCTTTGCTTTAACAGGGGCTTAGCACACTGCATGAAATACTCAGAAATACTGATATGTTAAAATGAGCTTCCACCTATAGAATGGTTTGGTTTAAGATTTGTTAAGCAGTTCTTTGAGTTCCCAGAGTCTGAGTCTAGTCTTTCTTAGGCCCCTTCCACACGGCTGAATAAAATACCACATTTTCCGCTTTGAACTGGAATATATGGCAGCATGGACTCAGTTCAAAGCAGATATTGTGGGATTTTCTGCCTTGATATTCTGTGTTATATGGCTGTGTGGAAAGGGCCCTTAGATTCTAGCCTGTTGGGATCAGAAAAGAACTGCTTTTTCTTATATGTCCTATTGGGCATTCTGTTGTCACTATTGTATAATCCATTTGTCTTGGCCCTTCCATTCTCTGCTTCTGTTCCCCACTGTTGTTCCTTCAGTGTTGGCTCATCTGTTATAATTGTAATTCAGTGGAAGGGTTGGAAATGTTTGCATCCACATTCTGAAGATCTGTGATTCTTCAGCTTCTAATTCATGCTTCATCAATGCAAGGTATTTTGCCATCAGTCTCCAGGTTTGACTGTGGTTCCTCTGGTTCCAAAATGTACAGATCAGAGTGCTGAACAGATGCAGCAGTTTTGCTTTAGGGTCTAAGCTCCCCCACACAATCCCTTCTTGGATTGGACCCCTTATATGTGGACCAGTGGCTGCTAGTGCATTTGTTGTGCTTCTCATGACTAGCCGCCACCAAACACAATGTGATCAGGAACACTGGTAAAAACAAACAAGTGGAAATTTATTAGGACACGAGTAATTAATATACTAACTGTTAAACTCAGTCAGTCATAGATCCCTAAACTATATTCACCTCTTGCCTCTTACTGATGCTCCTGTCTCTGTTCCAGCTCTTTCCTGTCTCTGGGCCCTTCCACACAGCCCTCTATCCCAGAATATCAAGAAAATCCCACAATATCTGCTTTGAACTGGGTTGTTTGAGTCCACACTCAAATAATGTGGGATTTCCTGCCTTCATATTCTGGGACATAGGGCTGTGTGGAAGGGTCCTTAGTTCAGTTCTTTGCACCTGCAGACTCTCTTCACAGCATTCTTTGAGCCATAAGTGGCTGCCTTCAGCCAGGCCTGTTCTACAAATCCCTTCAAAGCATAGTATCCTTTGAGCATAGTGTGCCTTCTATGTTTGGCTTCCTCACTTAGTTTTTCTCATACTTATCTGCTGGAGCCCTCACAAATCCAGTTCTGTCAGCTGACAAGTCCCACAGATTCAACCCAGAAAAAGCACAGGCTCCTCCTATGGGAAGCGCATGGAGCGAGTCTTCTTCAGGGAATGAGGACTGAGTCCTTTTCCTCCGCTTGTGAACTTAAGATGTAGTTGTGTTTTGCTGATCTGTCTCCACTGAGGACTTTTCTGTCTGCTTTTTCCCCACTTTAGGGAACAACCTTAATTCTGATTTATTCTTGGACAGGTTGTTATCTGTGGTGATCCAAAAGGAGAAGACACCAGAGAGCTGCTGCATTGTTATTATTCTACATTCACTCCGAACAGGGTAAGAATCACACACAAGCGACTGGCTTCTCTGTCATTGAGTTCCTCCTTTTATTCTGGGCCTTGGTTGGAGATTGATGAGTATGCCAGCAAATGGGAGATCCCAGAAGAAACAGGTTGTTTACACAGCAGGAAACAGAAGAGGGTTGTAGTTTAGTCAAGGCTGTTGAGCAAATAGAAGAGGGATGCCAATGCTTAGAAGTGGAGGGATCCCAAAAGGGTCCTCCCTAAGAAGCTGGCCTTTTGTTCCAAGTTCATTTTGAAAAAGGACACTTTTTATGGTAATAGTATAACCAGTAAAATTCTGGTGAATGAAAGAATTGGAGATGGAATGAAGACCCAGGAACTGGCAAAGCAAGCTTGCCGGCATGTTTGGTAGGGTTGAAATATCGTCATTTCAGTATCCTTCCATGTGGGGCACAAAACTAGGATGAGGTTTGAAACTGGAAGGCAAACAGAGAACAAACAATAACTTTGGCCAAAGGACCTACCAGTCCCCAGCAGTTTTCTCAATCCAACCAACACACACTACTGGCCGAGATAGATTGTTCCGAGCATCGATATTTCCAGAACTTAGGCAAGCAAAGTCAAAACGTACATGAGCAATATCTAATGCATATGTGGTAATCAAGAACAAAAAATAGCTAGATATGGTTTGTTGCTTATGAAGGTTCACATAATATTTCAATAACAGCATTTGTCTAGGTCCAGGGAGGTCATGTTACCCCTCTATTCTGCCTTGGTCAGACCACACCTGGAATACTGTGTCCAGTTCTGTGCATCGTAGTTGAAGGAAGATGTTGAGAAGCTGGAATGTGCCCAGAGGGGGCGACTAAAATGATCAAGGGTCTTGAGAAAAAGCCCTATGAGGAGCGGCTTAAAGAGTTGGGCATGTTTAGCCTGCTGAAGAAAAGGCTGAGAGGAGACATGATGAGGGCCATGCATCAAGATATGAGAGGAAGTCAAAGGGAGGAGGGAGCAGGCTTGTTTTGTTATTATACTACATTCATTCCTGGAGACTAGGACATGAAACAATGGCTTCAAACTACAGGAAAAGAGATTCCACCTGAACATGAGGAAGATCTTCCAAACTGTGGGAGATGTTCAGCAGTGAAACTCTCTGTGATGGAGGCTCCTTCTTTGGAGGCTTTTCAGGATGGCCATCTGTTGAGGGTGCTTTGAATGTGATTTTCCTGCTTCCTGGCAGGGGGTTGACTGGATGGCCCATGAGGTCTCTTTAAATTCTATGGTTCTATGATTTTTAGCAAAACATAAATGACAGAGCTTAGCAAATGATATAGGCCATGAGGAGATATCAGCTGTTGTCAAAATGAAGTTGTTTGGGTTCACGAAAACAGATCAGCATATAGCTGAATCTTTATTTCTTACTTTACACCAACAGGCATATATCTGATTCCATTTTAGTGATTTTAGGAACTGCTGCTTCTTTTTCCCTGCTTGGTTGTGGGCATTTAGGCAGCCTTCTTTAGTTGAGGAGTTGATTATCGAGGAATTGATTGTCGGCCAGTGATGCAAAAATCCAGTTTCCTAGGCTGAAAATTGAAAATGAACAGTCAATTATAGTTTCTTAACCAAGATGCCATCTTAATAATAAAAATAAAGTTTTATGATTATTATTACTTTGTAGACCTTTATGTGAGCTCGGAAGGCTTTCCTAACAATGGCCCTCCTCAGTGCTGTGATTGTTTACCAAGCTGCTGATTGCTTTTCCAAAGCAAACTGATTAGAGGGCCATTCTCTTATTCCCACACAGCCTCTCCTCTGCAACATCTTTACACTGTATTCAGCAAGGCTCACCTCCTGGTAAAGGTATGACAGGTTGGCTGGAAGAAATGAACAAATGCTAAAACAGCTTTAGAAGACTGTAAAAATGGTTGCCAAGATGGGGAAGGGAGCACAACATGTCAGTGTTTACCGCCTTTGGGATAAGGATGTAGGTCTTAGGCCACTCTTGTTCAACATGGTACCTTCCATACATACTAGATGACAAGTCCAATAATTTTTAGGTGGTTGTGGAAGGCAAGTCAAGGTTTTGGCATCACTATGTTAGGTTGTTGTAGGTTTTTTGAGCTGTATGGCCATGTTCTAGAAGCATTCTGTCCTGACGTTTCTCTTGCATCTATGGCAGGCATCCTCAGAGGTTGTGAGGTCACAACCTCTGAGGATGCCTGCCATAGATGCAGGCGAAACCTCAGGACAGAATGCTTCTAGAACATGGCCATACAGTCTGAAAAACCTACAGAAACCCAGTGATTCCGGCCATGAAAGCCTTCGACAATACATCGCTATGTTATTTTGGTTGATTTTACTCCTGAGCCAAGTTATCTGCCAAGTAGACTACTATGGATGAAAACATTACAGAACAAAGAAGCCTTCCCATAGTTTTATGTCTTTTGGGGGTGTTTTTTCCCCCTTGCTCTCTAACCCTTTTATTTTCCCTTGGTTTTGATGTCCACTTCTCAATGCAGTCCCTCCCAGCTTGTTACCCTTTTCATTCTCTGAGGTAAAGGCTGCAGCCTCCCATGTGCTGGGGCTGCACTTTGTAGCAATAGTAACATTAGGATTTTGTCCTCTACTCTTTTTTCTCAGGAAACAGTATGTTCTAGCTTCTGTCACATCTGTCTTAAGAGCTCTTTGTACAGTATAACCCTCTGTATCTATTGGGGCTATGCTCCAAGGCACCCTTGCCCCTATACTTGTCATCATGGATCATAGCCAACATTGTATTTTGACTGTTTTTGAGCTGGAGGCATACCATAGGATATCACTAGGGGACTTAGAGAGGCACACAAACAGGGGGGGATTTTTTTTGAAGTTTGAGTCAGTGAAATTGTGAATATCTAGTCAACAGATCAGGGAGTTAGTACTCTACAGGAAGCATTACTTACACTAGCATATCTTTTACCTAGGCATTGGATCTAGATCTCCCATGTATCTGGGTCATCCAAGAGATACCAATAACATGGGATAATATGCTGTTTTCTTAGCAAAATTAATGGCCAGGATGATAGCTGGGACAATGAGGCCTGCAGGGTTTATTTAGCTTTGGAAAGAATAGGTGAAAAAGTAGGACTTTAAATCCCTTAAGATGAGCCTTTATATTGCACAGATTCTTCTATCTCATATAAGCCTACAGTTCTGAAGATTGATAACATTTAGTCTCAAGCATGGGCCTGTCTTTACAGACAAGCAGTCATATCTTGGCTATTGCTTAAAAAAATGGTTGGGATTGGACAGTGATGAAGTGGATGGAGAAATTATAATTTGAGGTCAAGATGTCACATCCACAAAATATATTTTATGGCTGACAGTATAAATGAGGATTTTAATGTGGACGTTATGGGTTTTGTAAATCTGCACATGGAGCTGCTTGGTAAGCATTAAAGGTTGTATTTGACTCTGCTGATACAGGCAAGCAGGAAGCAGGTGGACTGGCATCTATTTCTAAACCACAGATGCATCATGCTTTCCTTAGGGCTCACTTAACCACATGGGATTGCTCTCTACTAAATTATATAGTGCTTTGGATTCATGTGCATTTTAATCCTCCTCTGGGCATTCTGGTGACTTCTGCAGGCAGGCTTGTGCTCATTGCCCTGAGCTCCTGGCTCTCTTCCTACTGATCAGGGAAGTCTTCCATTTTGTTGTTGTTGTTAAAACAGCCTCAAGGCCTCAGCTGTCCCTTCAGTTTGTGCTCCTTCAACTCTGATTCTTTTTGTGATGATGAGCAGTGTTTGTGCAGATTATCCCACATTGTCACTTATGAGTGCTCTTGTGGGGTGTGCTGAGGTTGTCTTCAGTGTTCCCAGACCTTGCTGATGAAGAGCTAGTTTTGTGACCCAGATTGGAGGGAGCAAGAAGGCCAGAGAGGAAGTGGTTGTTGGAGCCGGACCCCTAAGAGCACCTCCAGCTGAAAGTATGGGAGAGCCTTTCCCAGCAATTACCATGCTTGCTAGGCTATGGTCTGTCTCCATCTCATAGTGAGCTTCCTTATGGGAGGACCTGTTGAATTAAATAAAATTGGGAAAACACGAGGGGAACATTTGTGGCTGGATATGCCTAAATCAAAGTTAGGAAATCATTCTTTTTTTTTTTTTTTTGGAGTTTACCTTCTAGAATCCCCCAACCAGTGGCCACGCTAGTTCAGGGATTCTGGGAATTGTAACAACAACAACAACAACAATAACATTCTTATATCCTGCCTCCATCTCCCCGAAGGGACTCTGGATGGCTTACATGGGGACCAAGGCCAAAATAAACAAAAGTTACAAAGTAACACAATAAAAACATATAACAATCAGCTATAAATTCAGAAAGTGATTTTTCAAGCTCCAAATTGGGATCATGTAAAAATGTCAAGGTATGGCTGACTAGTAAAAGGGCAAGAGAAACACTGCTTAGCTACTCTTTGTTCATATTGAGTGAACTATTCATGGCATGGGGAACTGACACTCGGGATAAGTGCAAATGGGGCATTAGCATCAGAAATTATTTTTCATGTTCCCTACATGGAGCAGTAGGGATAATACCTCTCTTGGGATGCATGCTTTATGCTTTCCTGAAGGGCTGTTTTACATGTGTTCTCAAAATATGAGGAAGGCAGTATGGTGTTGAAACTGCCTTAAGACACAAATCTTAAGCTGTGTTTGTTGTTGCCAAACAAATGGCAAATGTAGTTGCTTTCCCTTGTCCCAAATCAGTAATTTTTAGAGAACAATGAGTGCTCAATTTCAGCCTCTTTTAACCTAACCTACCCCACAAGGCGGGTGTGAGTATAAAGTGGGAGTATCTGCTGCTATGAGCACAATTCTGGAAGAGAGCCGAATGTGAAAAGGAGGATGAGAAGAATACAAAGAGTTGCATAAATAATAGTTTAGCTATACATGACCATAAACATGTCACAATGGGTGCTTTCCAGTACAAAGCCATATAATACAGTATGGTGCAATGCTCACTGTAAAGGGGGTATTTCTGTCGCAG